GTTTTCGTTTTCTGTATGTAGGAATCGATAGGAGGAACGACTTACTTTTATCCCGGAAACGAAGTAAAGTACCCGTGTGAAACCAGAGTAAGATAACGTACTTTCATTGTGCTGAAATTATTGTATTTTTTCTAAGTTGCCTATGCATTAAATTTAGTTTATAATTAGATCACTGCGACTCGAACTCTACGCTTTTTTTCTACTGGGTCACAAGGGACACCTTATATACGATTGTCGGAACGTCTGTTCTTTATGACCCTTATTAGCAGTTTGTAGTTGAGTCAACTTCTGAAGCATTGTGTTCTTCTGCTGTACCCCCATTTCATTCGTACAAAGAACATCTGGTAGTAAAGCTAAGTCGTTCATGATTGTAATCTATTCCACAGTCGCGTTTCCTAGTCTGACTGTTCAGCTGATCGTCTCTAAGGTAAAATAACATTCTTCTACCTTGGATGTCTGCAACAGCTGTTTGCCTGAATTTGCGTCGATGATAGTTTTGTCACTCCTGTATTATGGTATGGTGACAAAAGCTATCCTAATCTTTTAAGGCACTTTCATTTGACGACTTTACCGTCCTGCATCATTGCTTGTGGCTGTCTGCGAAAGAAAGCTTTTCCTATCATTGGATATAGATCCTTGTAGTCGATGATGTGTGTTTTCTCAGAGACCTTCGCTGAGAGTAATTTTCATACAATTTACTACTGCTTAAATAAGCTACAAGGAAAAGATGAAAGCAGACTTTATCGGGCTTAAATCAATGTCGCAGAATTTTTCGGATCGTCAGAGATGCCTCGCTTGATCTGGCTGCTGAGGGCACTTCTAAAAATAAATCTTGAGGTTCGGACCAACTTAGTCTACTACCAATTTGCTTTGATTTACTGTGCACTGTTGATTTGTCTTACTCTGAACCTGCTGAATAGCAGATGGTCATTATCTACTAATTCAGGGAATTTTTGTTGACTGACTTGTTTCGACTTAAGTGCATGTATTTAATTCAAGTCTTTGAGAAGAACCGTTCTCTTTTAAAGTCCTCTTCATAACGGGTAAATTTTTTTTCCCGAAGGCTGTTTAGTAATTTTCGATTCTTGGATTTCCGTGAACGTTATAGTCATATTGTCTGATGCACGCCCTTTTCCAGTGCAGTACGCCTTGATCTTGTGATTGCTGAATTAATCAGCACAACGGTAACCACAGATACAACAGAATTGAAAATGGTTCAATAAATTTTTCAGAAAACAATATTTGAAGGGCAATTTTTTGACGAAACCAACTACTGCATTATAAACAGAAGCATGGAGTTGATATTAAGAAAAATGAACTTGAAGCCCAGTCGAAATGGACCTGGTACGTGAATATGGCCACTGAATAGCAGTGAGAAATGTTCGAAAATTAATAGTGACCGTTACATAAATCAGAATTAATTCTACTTGGGATCAATCGTTAAGCAACCATCTGGACAGGTGCATAACAGTATGGGCTGAAAGTATGAAAAGCACAATTAAACAAGTCGATCAATTAAAACTGTTTGGAAGATATTTTAAAGAGAATGACTACGACAGCGAAGAAAACGTTTGAGCTGCAAGGAGGATAGGTATCACTTTGAATCGTGTAGTATTCTGGCTTTTGTCAGTAAAAAATTTTATTCAAAGTCTAATAATATCTCCTTAAGTGGATTCCAACATACGTGAGCTTGGCATTGTTCTTCAGCCTTATAACATGAGTAATACTTCATTCCCTTCTGTTATTGTCTGATTTTTGCTGTGTAACATGCCGTTGAATTGATTGCTGAATCATACGATAGTTTATATTCTCGAAACGAGTCTTTGGTTCCCGCTTTGTTGCAAATTGAAACTATCCTGGTGCTTTGTTTTTGCGATGCTTAATGTTTTAACGTGACTATTGTTTCGCTTTTCATTTTTAGCTCCTGCCCAAATGTTACTCGTATAATAGTGCAGCTTCTCATTTGGTTAACTTTACGGCAAACGCTTGTAGAGGTTCACTGTATTTTGCCTCACCTGCTATCCGAGAAGTAAGTTTCCTCTTTAGAGAGGTTTATTCTAATATGAAGAGGAATCTAAAATGTAAAAATAAATTTCCAGATCAGTATTATGAATGACCATTCTTCGTCCTTCTAATTTGTTGTCGTACTTCTCTCGTGTGTATGCATTTTCTAAATTAGGTGAGTGCATTTTTAGCATTATGTTCACCATTACCCGTCACCATCAGTTAGCCAAGGCGAAGTCGGCTGTTAAATAATGATTTGAAACAAACATTTGGGGACATTGAAGCATATGAAAGTTTTAATCACTTAGTGTTGCCGCATTTCCACGAGGCAAACAAAGTATTCTCAGACCACCCGCCGGCTCCGAAGTGCAAAGAAGGGCAGTCTCAGAGTCTTGAAGGACAGATCTGGACACCCTCTTACCAAGGACGATGACATTCTTTGGCGATGGCGGGAGTACTTTTTGGAACTGCTTAACCCCGCGCAACCGCAGGAAGACTCGGCTGTAGAGCAGAAGAGTACGGATATTACTCTCTCTGTAGATGAAATTACACAAGCTGTGAAAAGCCTGAAAAATAGAAAAGCTGCTGGAAGTAACTAAATCCGCCCTGAGATGCTCAAGGCATTAGGTGAACAAGGCATGTACTGGCTTACACGTGTCTCTCAAACTGCGTTGACTGCGCAAAAGACGCTGGCGGGCTGGAGAACTGGAGTTGTTGTATCCATATTCAAGAAGGGAGACCACAAGGAACCCTCCAATTATAGGGGCATTACGTTTTTGAGCCTCCCAGGTAAAGTCTACGCAAACTTGGTAGAAAGGAGGTGCCGTGAAATAGTTGCCCTCAAGATCCAAGAAGAGCAGTGTTACTTAAGGCCCGGTCGAAGCTCCTCTCACCATATATTTGCCCTGCGCCAGATTGCTGAGAAATCGTGGGAGTACGCCCAGCCGTTGTACTTGTGTTTTGTAGAGAAAGCGCATGACCGGATCCGACGCAACAGTCTGTAGACATGCCTTCGTGCATACGGGATTGATGGCAAATTGCTAAGGGCCATCCAATCAATGTATTCTGATAGCAGGTGCTGTGTCAGTGTTAATGGCGTTAAGTAGAAACCATTCAACGTTCGCACTGGTTTCCGCGAAGGCTGCGTCCTGTTCCCTATCCTGCTTGTGTTGTACATGGATAGAGTTGTCAGGAGCTGCCAAGGCAATGAGGGTATTAGTGTAGGAGCTGCGAAGTAGAGAAGGTTGCTGTTTGCAGACGCCCTTGTTTTATTAGCATCTTCTGAAGCTGATCTTCAATGCTCCTTAGAAAGGTTTGCAGACGAGTGCGACGTGACCAGCATGCGTGTGAACGCATCTAAAACAAAAGCCTAGTGCCTTCTCGTTCTCCTGACCGTTGCTCTCTTCAGATTAGCGGAGAGGCAGTGGAGCAGGTGAAGAAGTTCAAGTACCTCGGAACTGTATTTACTAGTGACGGAAAATTGAAGGAAGAGATCGACCGGCGAATTGCATTGCCAGTGGCGTTCTGCGTGAACTGGCCTGACCCATTGTGGATAATGCAGAGCTCAGTCTGAATACTAAGCTCTCGATATTCAAGTCGATCTTTATCCCCATACTTACCTACGGTCATGAGTCATGAACCATCACTGAAAAACTTCGAACCCGGGTACAGACTGCTGAAATTGGCTTTCTTAGACAAGTCGCAGTCCATACGCGTCTCAGCATGGTCGGGAATACGGACATCCGGAATAATTTTGGTATACAGCCTTTGCTTTTCCAGATTGAGAAGTCAGCTGCGGTGGTTAAGGCATGTGTTGCGAATGTTTCCGGAAAGAAAGGCTAAGTAAATATTTCTTGCGAATCCTACCGCCAGATGGCCCAAGGACGGCCAAGATTAACCTGATACAAATATAAGGAACGAGTTTGTTCCAGACTCCTGTTGTTGTCTTTTGCTGAAGCTCAGACTCTGGCACACAATCAGGACGTTGGAAGCTCTGTCTGACGCGTCTGTCGTCGCCACCCGAAAGGAAGATGCGATGGAAGATGAAGATGTGTTGCTGGTTTTGTTAATCAAATGAATATTAATACTATAGCGGTATGGTTTACAATAAAAATGGTCATTCTCTTTGTACATATCGTGTTCCTAGTGAGCGACATAGTAAGAATTCTAATACGAGTCTTATTCCTTACACCTCAATAGACTTTACGGTATATGCTGTGGACTGCATAACTGTTTTTAAACTGCTGCAAGGGCAATTCACCGAACCTTTCTTTTGGTATTTTCTTCAACATCATTCTCCCAATGTAGGTAAAGTGAGTCATGGAAACCTAATGATAAATCAGATCAGCGTTCTTAGAACTGGAAGGAACCGTCCTTTTAAAAGAATATTGAACTTTGATAAGTGCCATCTTTACTTAACCTCAGCTTTCATGGCCTCGGTCTCGTTCGCCCTCCTTTCTCATCCGGACTTGGGACCTGGAACGGCAGACTTTGTCATTTTTACTTTCTGTTTGAATTTTTGCTTATTGTTCTGAGCATGATTGAGTAGTCCCACTTGCCAGACCAGGCCACTGATATCTAAAATGTTATTCGCTGTTGCACCATAGGAGGGAGCCATGGAATGTTAGCCGCATGGAAATGATAAAAATTTCTCGCATATGTTGAGTGTTAGATAATGGCTGTATGTATTGCACAAAGAATGCAGTAGGGTTGAATCATCACTAGCACTCTTTGGCTTGTTCTTTTATTTATGAACTGCATGGTGTTTGTTCGAGTTAGTATCACTTTCGTTGTTTGAAGCCACATTTGTTTTAGGAATTGCTGTACCGCCAATTGGCAGCAGCGGTCGAGGTGGATCGCACACAGTACTCCGGTATGCTAATATGTTTTTGAGGTCATTGTCTAATTGGATCAGCATCGATTTAGATCTTCCGACAGAAGTTGATTCTTACGCAGACCTTGTGCCCCTGGAACCAGTAATGCGCAGTGCCTCATTGGAGAAGCCAGGATATTTTGGCCTTATTTCGACCGTATACAAAGCGGTCAGTATTAAGGACGGTCTTTGCTACTGCTTGAGGCGATTTCACGGTTAGCATAATATGCTCTAAAGTCGCTTGGTTACAGAAGCCATTTAGACTTCCAGCTAGCAAATAAACGCTGCATTTTTGCCGTTGAAACGTGGAAGAAAATTAAACACGCCAACATCGTTCAGCTCAGAGAGGCTTTTATGACTCGAGCTTTTGGGGATAACTGTAAGCAAATTTTGATGCTTAGTAAAACCTTTAAAATTTGTTAATTTAAAGGCAGAAATTGATGGACGCCATATGAGGTGGCAAAATCACAAGCAGCTGTAATTTTGTGTGTATTTAAATTCTTTTCAGCTTCAGATTTGTTTGCAGGGTTATAATTTTCGATCGTTAATTGAAATCTGCTCATTCTTATGCAGATAATTATGTAATCATTACGCGCGAAATCGAAGAGGAACCTTTATGCGAACCAGGGTGCAGGAGAAAATATTCGTTAGCAGTAGAACGATGTCGATTCACAGTCCTCATTATTTTCCGGCTGTTCACAAATATATGCGTTTTCAGCTAATGCGGGTGACGAATTAAGTTGAAAAGTATTTCATGTAAATTCTCTGAACTGACAGGAGAATGTGATATTATCGATGGTGTTGAAAGCTGGCAGTTTGCTGGCAAGACCATAATTGCAGGATTTATTTTTGGTATAAAGTTGAAATGT